CCGTACCAGAAATCAAACTCATGACCTTGCACTTGCCAGGCAGGTGCTGTGCTGCTGAGCTAAATCCCCAGCCCCCATCTCCTTTATCTCTGTCTGCTTCCCGGCCACCATGGGTTGAACAGCCTTCCTTCCCAGGACTTATTACCATGCTGTTTCTTCCTTTTTTTTTGTTTTTGTTTTTGTTTTTTTTTCCGGTACCCGGAATCGAACTCATGACCTTGCGCTTGCCAGACAGGTGCTGTGCTGCTGAGCTAAATCCCCAGCCCCTCTTCCTTGAAGCCAAACATGGACTGAACCTGCTGAAACTGTAAGCCAAAACAAACCTCTGCTCTAAATTGAGGCTGTTGTGTATTTTGTCCTGCCTGTATATTAGGAAAATGACTAATATACAAGGCCAAACTGACAAGTGTGTTCCTGACTTCCCTTCTGAGGACACCTTGGGCTCTGTTGAGATGGTCCAGCTGAGGAAGGTCCTCCCAGCTTCAGGCCAGAGGCCAGGGAGCCTGGCTAGAAGGCAATCAGGGACACACTCCAAAGGAGCTGGCGGTGGGGGTCTGGGAGAGGGGCCAGGAGAATGGTTAACAACCCTGGGCAGGGACAGGTTGACCAGATCTACGTGTCCAAAGTCCTGAGCATTCTGTTATGTCAAGGAAGCTCAGGCAGAGTGCTTTCTCCAAAGTCTCTATAGTTCAAGGAAATTAAAATGTTCATGGGATGGGAACCAACGAGTAAAGAAAATAGAAGCTGAGCTGGGTATGGAGGCACATGCCTATAGTCCCAGCACATGTGAGGCTGAGGCAGGATTGCTGAGAGTTCCAGGCCAGGTTGGGATCATAGTGAGCTCAAGGCCAGCCTAAACTACATAGCGAGACCCTGTCTCAAACAAAACAAGTTGAGATGTAGCTCAGTAGCAGAATATCTGCTTAGCACATTCTATCCCTAGCATTGCAAAAATAAATTAAGATACCAGCTGGACATGGTGGAGCACTCCTTAATTCCAGCACTCACCTGTAATCTCAGCACTTGGGAGGCTGACACAGGAGGATTGTTGTGAGTTCGAGACCAGGCTGGGGTACAAAGTGAGATGAAGGCCAGCCTGAATTGCATAGCAAGACTCTGTCTCAAAAAGAACCCCCCCAAAAAAACAAAAAACCCCCAAGATTTCAAATAA